AGTGGCAGGAGGAAGGCAGGGTCAGGGCCAGCAGGGCTGGGTGGTGGTGCTGCCATCTCACCGTGCTCCCACCCGCAGCACCTCTGCAGGGGATGGAGGGTCCCCCAAGGCGCTTCCAAATCCATGAAATTCCAGCAGCACAAGCCACCGGGACTGTTTTTCCTCACCTGTGGGGTGTGGTGACCTCCTGTGCAAGCCAGGTCACAGGGTGGACCCGCCAGTCCCGTGGGACCTGGCACGACCAGGACAAACCTACCAGTGGGCAAAGCAGTCGGTGTGTCACCAACCTGCCCACGCTGGGAGCAGGAGGGGACACCGGGGCTCAGGGACAGCCCTGGCCACCCCCACTGAAGGTGTCCAAAATTGCAACCAGCAAAGTTCCTCCCACACATCTCCTGCAAAGTGTGGCTGCAGTGTCCCTACCTGCTGCTTGGGCTGTGTCTCTGCTCCACCCTGAGATGGCCCCCAGTGGGCTGGGGCTGACACCGGGCTGCTCTGGGGGTCCCCTGTGAAGCCCCCCCAGCAGATGGTGCCTGGAGAGGCCCTAAGATGTGCTGGGGACCAGGGCATTCCCTGGTGGCAGAGGCTGTGACGCTGCTGCCAGATCTCCTGCACAGTTGCTGCCTTCCCTGCCGGGGACCTCTGGGATGAGCATTTTCCCGTGTCCCCCACCCCTCCCCAGACACACTCCAGGCTCCAAACTCGACGTGGCCACTCGCAAGGGATGGGGTTTCTCTTAGGAAGAACCAAGGAACTGATCCCGACTGCTTCCCAGTGCAGCCTCGGTCACACTCTGCTTCCCTTCCCCGTGCCTCAGTTTCCCCACCTGCAAACCTGACGTTAGGCTGTTCCTAAGCCCCTGGGCCCTCTGGGCCCTCTGGGATGAGCATTTTCCCGTGTCACCCACCCCTCTCCAGACACACTCCAGGCTCCAAACTCGACGTGGCCACTCACAAGGGATGGGGTTTCTCTTAGGAAGAGCCTGCCCCAAGGAACGGATCCTGACTGCTTCCCAGTGCAGCCTCGGTCACACCCTGCTTCCCTTCCCCGTGCCTCAGTTTCCCCACCTGCAAACCTGACGTTAGGCTGTTCCTAAGCCCAGACTCGTCCCCGTGCAGGAGGGCTCAGTGCCCAGCCCAGGCTCTCCCTGCCACGCCAGGGTGAG